GTTTGGGTATGCCTGCTTCTCCCATGCGGGACTTGTTGAAGCCCATGGTTTTTTCGTTTCGCCAAGGCGTGGCATCCTCTAGGTGCTGAGCTACCAATCTACGAGGGAAGATTCAGAGCTCCTGTCAAGACCTCAGGTCAGGCGTGATCGACACGAATTTGGATGCACAAATGACCCGAAGTTGGCTTACCGACGGGGCAAAGAAGGTGACAATGATGACCCGAAGTGGTCTGGGCGGCTCTGACAAAGATGTCTGATATGCGCCCTACTCTTCGGATGTGTTGGGGCATGTAAAAGTGATGAGTACAGCATCAAAAACTTATCGAGTTGAAGGTGTTTTCACCCCAAAAGTGAGAGTGGTGAAAGGAATTGAATTCAGGACTGACCGCCACTTTTAGGACCATCCCAGCTTTCAAGGTACTGTAGGGTTTACTCCAGGGACCCGTGCGACTCATGAATCTCGCCATGACCCAAACCATTCCAAACCAACTGAACCTAGCCCAGTCCCACACAGCAATAGTCTCGTTCCACCCATCAAGAGTTTCCGTGTCCCAGAGGCATTCTACGTATCTTGATCGCTACTGAGTTGTGGGTCCGTTATCCGTTTCTCCCGATTCTGCCGAGGCTTTTATGCACCTAGTCTCTCCGCTCTCTTCCGCCTCCAGTCACTACAGACTGAAGTAAATATTAGAAGGTCGCTCCGATTAATCTACAGTAACGATAGGTTTCATTTGACTGCCACGTGTTGGAAGGTGAACAATGGCGACGATGGAGGTAGCGGGGTGGGAGGACAAGGACGCGTTGTTAGACAGCGCGTGGATGGACGCCGCCACCAAGGACGACGAACCCGAAGACGACGGACCCAACCCTGACGACTTCCGTCGCTCTCGCACGTTTACGTCCTCTATTCTCTCCCGAATTACCGCGTCAACACCTGGGAGAGGCGAGTCCAGCAGAGCGACCCCGCGCGGAGCCAGCGACGGCAAGGCGGCGTCTGGCGGCAGCGGCGCCAAGGACGGCCCGAGGCCGCCCAAGTGGCTCAACTTCCGGGGCTCCGCGAGCAAGGCGGCTACCGACGACAGCAGCAAGGCGGCGGCTACTCCAAGTGCGAATCGGACCGCACCCTCGAGATCTTCGGACGCCAATTGGTCCGACAAGCAGTTGTCGCCTCCGGCAGACACGTCTGCAGCTGACGAGCCGTCAATGGACGATCTTCGTCGATCCGTGACCGTGTCCGCCGTTGATAGAGGCTCGTTGCGCCGGCAGCACAAGGAGATGGGCACCCTCCGCGCGACTGCCGAGGTTGCGAACAAGAAGGCGAGCGCGCATGGCGGCAGGAGCAGCGCCTCCACCGGCGTCGGTAGCGGATTGGATGCACCAGGTGCTCAACCCAACCCGGGAAACGCGGGCGGGCTTGCACGGACGCGATCCGGCGGAAGCGCGACATCGGTGGTGTCGCGACCTCCCGCCTCCGCGTCGGCCGCTAAAGTCGCCTTCTTCTCGTTCAATAAACACCGCGAGGCCGTCGCGGGCGCGGAACAAGCGGAGCAGCTGACGCTTTCCGCGGATGAGCAGAGGGCGCGCGGACAAACGGGAGAAGCCGTCGTGCGGAGAGGCTATGGGCGGCGGGCGCAGAGCATTGGCGGAATGGCTGGGGAGCTGCGCGGAAGAGGAGGCATTCCGGATGGCGGGAGGGCCGCATTGGGAGGCCCGGTTCGGGCCAGCTTGGGAAGGTGAGTGAGAAACTTCCGGACGTGGGACGGTACGCAAGAAAGCTAACGATCGAATCCTATAGGTCATGATACGGGTTGCGGGCCCAGGATGGTTGGAAGTTAAGACGTGCAGAAAATGGCAGCGCGTGTTCGAGGCCGCTGCTGTGCCGCGCGGATATGCCTGGGTTGTACGCAGTTACCTGTAGCCGTCCGCGTTTCTAGGAGGCTCTTGTTCCAAGCCAATTCTGTTGTTGAAGGCGGAGCAGAGCTGAGGACCGGGCAATCTGTAGACCGCATCGCGGTGACTTTTGAGTCAACTCAGAGTCACCTCATTCCATGGAGCGCCCTCTCTTTAACGGTTTAGGGTTGAATGGTTTGAAGGATGGTTTGGTGTGAACCCTGTCGTTTCTGCCGTGGTGGGCATGGGTTGAGTGTTGTCATCAGTCATCATCGGGGCCCCTGTGGTGCTGCACCTGGCGCTGCTTTCCCCACTCTCCCTCCCCTCTGCCCTCCTCCCGATTCTCCTTCGCCTTTGCCCTCCTCCGAATTCTCCCTCCCGTCCCACTCCCCTTCGCCTTCCCTTCCCCCAGGAGTCGCAGCGTGGGCAACGCTCAGAGCGACGCGGGCAGCCATGGCCTCTCGCCGCTGCACCCATCCGCCTCCCGCCTCTCCGCCCACTCCGATCGCCCCGCCTCCCCCCAACTCATGCGCCGCCCCCGTGGCCACTCCGCCTCAATGCTGCCCCCCACAGTGCGCACCTCCACCCCTCCCCGCGCGCCCGACCCAGGCGACCGCCCCGGCTCGTCCCTGTCCGAACGAGGGAGTGGTTCGACTGGGCGGCGTAAGAGTGGCGTGTCTAGGAGAAAGGAAGGGGGGGGATCAGTAGGAGGCTCGGAAAGAACGGGGTCGCCCCTTTCACGAGGAGCTTATAGCGGGTACGCAGCTGAGGATGCGCCAGGGAGCGTTGGAAGCACGGGGCTCGTGGGGGGCAACGGGGAAGGCGAATACGAGCAGTACCAGCAGCGGGGGAGCAGAGGGCGCGGGATGGGCGCAGGGGGAGGGGCGCAAGGGGGAAGGCATGGGCGGCAGAAATCAAGCAGCAGCAGTGGAGGGGGTGAGGGGGAGGGCGTGCGAGGGGGGATGAGCGGAGGTGGGCGCGTAGAGGGGGGAACGAGTGCGGGGAGAATGGGGAGGGGAAGCGTGGCAGTGAGGGGAGTTGCGGGTGGGGGGGTGGCTGCGAGTGGCGGGAGAGGAGGGGCGGGCGGGCATGTGCACGGGTATGGCAGAGGAGGGGCGGCGATTGAAGGAGGGGAGGATGCGGGGTATGGGGAGGGAGGGGTGTGGGAGGAGGAATTTGATACTGCGGAGGGGGTGGGGGGGCTGGTGGGTGCTGAGGAGCAGCAGCAGCCGCAGTGGCAGGGGCAGGGGCAGCAGTGGCAGGGGCAGCACATGCCGGCGCCGCAAGGGCATGCGGATGGGTATGCAAGTGGATACGTGGATGGTGAAGGGATGTTGCAAGGGGAGGAGGAGCAGGAGGGAGGCGACGATTGGTATGAGGGAGGGAGGGGGGGGGATCCTGGGGCGTACGAGGAGCAAGAGGCGTGCGGTGAGGGCGCGTACGAGGAGGGCGTGTATGGGGGCGAACAGGGCTATGATGAGCAGGGCGGGGGGACGCAGGCCTACGGCAGGCAGGCAGGGTATGAAGAAGGGTACGGCGAGGCAGGGTACAGTGAGGCAGGGCGTGCGGGGCAGGGGTATGGGCGGCACACACAGCGGGGCGGAGGGCACAATGAGTATGGCGAGGCAGGGTATGGGGAGCAGGGGCATGTGCCGCAGGGGCATGTGCCGCAGGGGTATCATGAGACAGAGTATAACGAGCAGGGGTATAACGAGGAAGTGTATAATGATCAGGCATATACCGAGCATGGATATAAGGAGCAGCGATATAGCGAGCAGGGATATAACGAGCAGGGATATAACGAGCAGGGATATAACGAGCAGGGATATAACGAGCAGGGATATAACGAGCAGGGATATAACGAGCAGGGATATAGCGAGCAGGGATATAACGAGCAGGATTATAATGAGCAAGGGTATGTAGAAGAAGGATTTGGAGAGCAAGGGTACGAGCAGGGATATGGGGAGCAGGGATACAGGGAGCAGGGGCAGGAGGGGCAGGGATACGAGGAGGAGGGGTACTATGAAGAGCAAGGCAGTGGTGGGGGCGGGGGATACAGCGAAGGGCGAGGCGGGCAGTACCCAGTGCAGGTGCAACCTGGGCGGCAGCAGTACCAGCAGCAGCGGCAGCAGGCCCCACAGCAGCAAGAGTATTCGGTGCAGCAGCAGGGGTATCCCCAGCAGCAGGGTGCCGGTAGGTCGTCAAGAAAGGGGTCAGTGGGAGCAGCAGGTGCAGGGGGGCCAGGGGGAGGAGCGGAGATGGGTGGCGGAGGCATGGCAGGAGCCTCTGCGCCCCGAGGCAGGGCCTCCAAGCACCAGCCCCCGCCGTCGCAGCAGCAGCCGGCCAATCGGCGCCCGCCAAGTGGAGGGGCGAAGGGTGCTGGTGTGTCTCGCAGTCGAGGAGGTGCAGGAGGTGGGGGAGGGTACTGAGGGATGGGGAGAGGTGGAGGAAGAGAAGGTGCCAAGGGTAGGGGAGGGGTGTGGGGTGCAGACAAGTAGGGAGCAAGAGGGGTGTGAAAGAAATGGCGGTGCAAGGGGGAGAGTGGGGAGAGATGATAGACGGAGAGTGGGCTTTCCTTGTGTCGTTGCTGTGAGCATTAGGGGCACCACTCCTACCGTACTCTCTTTCTGTTCCGGGAGAGGAGTGAAGAACAATATAACTGCTGCTCCATGACATGACAGCACAGTGAGAAGGTTGATGCGTCTCAAAGGCAGAGTCAGAAAGTGTCCGTGTGTCTGGTGCGAGGCGGCAGGCAGTGGTGGCAGCTGACATGACTGCAGCTGACATCACATGGCATGGTGGCATCTGGGAGTGCCACATGCACACATCCACTCAACACAACTTCCTGCTGCTGCTGTGTGCCCAATATGGGTTGCCCTGTGGTGGACATGGCTGCAGGTTAGGGGTTCAATTGGGTGCTTGTAGCACCTATGGTGAGAGCTGAATGCATCTACGGTGAGTGCAGAATGCAGTTCTGAGGGTGTGGCCAATGCAGCCTGCAGCTGCGTTACCACAATGTATGTTTGCAGGCCTCTGCCAACTGCATGCTCTGTACAAGAGCTTTCAAAATGCTAAAATCTCTACAACTATCTTACATGATGAATATATATTTAAGCTGTTACAAGATTATTTGAGCGCAAGCACACTACACTCTTACACACATAATCCACCGAATCCAGCTCCCACAACCCCGCCCCCTTCATCCCCACCACTGCCTCCTCTGCCGTTCCCCCCCTCCCCCCCACCACCATCCACGCCCCCTGCTGCACGCCCTGTGACTCAAACGAGGAGTTCACCCCTGATGGCGCCATGTAGCACGGCAGCCCCACCCTCCATACAGTCACGCCCACACGAAGCTTCTTCACTGCTTCCTCCAGTGCAGCCCACCGGGCGGCACTGCTGCCTTGGTCCAGCCATGCTGCTCGCAGCGCCTCCCATGACCTTGACCTTGATTCCTCCTGCCCACTGCTCTTGCCTGCGCTGAAACCACTGTCGCTGCTGCCACCGTCACTGCTGTTGGTGGGGGTGCCCCAGAGCAGGTGGCCGAGCAGGGAGTGCAGGGCGGAGTGGGCAGCGGGGGAGGGCGGCAGGAGGAAGACGTCTGACAGAGGCGAGTCGCCCACCCCCACTGCCACACCCGCCCGCTGCCACGCCTGTCCCTGTGTCTCTTGCTGCTGGCCCGTGGCCACCTCTTCCCCCGTCGCCCCCTGCTCATGCGGACTAGACCCACCCCACTGCCACTGCCCCTGCTGCCCCCCCTGCTGCCCATGGCTGTGGGGCGGGTGCAGCAGGCGGGGCGCGAGGCAGAGGAAGGGGTCGCCGCGCCACGTGACGGCAGGGGAGGCCAGCAGCACCGGCACGCGCAGGCGGGTTGACAGCTGCACGGCCGTGCGCAAGTGCGCGGGGGACGGGATCAGGGTGGGTGGAGGGGGAGGGGGGGGGTCAGAGGAAGGAGGGGAGGGCGAAGAGGGGAGGAGGGAGACGAGGTGGCCGCGCGTGGCGAGGTGCAGGGCGAGGGAGGGGCAGGAGGTGAGCATGGCCCAGTGCGACAGGCCCAGCCCGTCCATGTGGCATGCCCAGTTGCGTGCCAGCTGCTGCCATGCGGGCGGGGCGGGGCTGTCTGTGGCGCGCAGCAGGGAGGCCGCCCAGGGGTGTGCGTGGGCGTGCTGCTGCTGGGGTGACGCGGGAGAGTGTTGGTGGTCGGGCAGGAGGAGCAGCGCAAAGGACGTCACCTGTGGTGCAGGGGCATGGGGTGAGGGGTATGGGTTGTGGAGCATCGGGCATGGAACGAATGAGAAAAGGCATGCGTTGCGAGAGGAGAGAGGAGTGGTCATGCATGCAACATTGAATCCGTGTTTTACTCACCCCTCTTGCACTCTGCACCGCCCGCAACAGCTCCTCATCGCGCGTCACCATGGATGCATACGTCCCACCCGCCACCCCTGCTGCTCCTGCTGACTCAGCATCACCGCCGTCTGACTCAGCTCCTGCATGACCCTCGTCTGTGCCCTCTAGAGCCGCTTCGTCAGCACCCCCTGCCTCCGCCTCTCCTCCTCCCCCACCGCTGTGCCGCTCAACCCCAACCTCCCCACCGCCTTGCGGCTCGCCCCCCTCCCCCCTGCCCTCCCCTTGCCACGCCCACGCAGTGCCCCCTCGCCCCACCCAGGGCAGCGGGCGCAGGCAGAAGTCAAAACGCGGCAGCGAGGCTAGAGGGGGCAGCTGCGCCCACCACCATGGCACCTGCTCTGCTGCACCCACCTGCTCTGCTGCGCTCAGGTGCTCCATCATGTGTTCTGCTGCATTCACCGGCTCCACTGCACCGATATTTGCTGAAGCAGTGAGGTGTTCCGGCATGAGCAGAGTGGCATCAGCGCCCTTGGAGCGCTTGAAGCTCTCCCCCTGCTCGCGATGGCTCACACTCAGCGCCAGCCCTGCAGGCAGCGACGCGTAGAGGTTGAGCGCGGCGGAGGTGTGCGCCCACCGCACGATCCACGGCGTCCAGATGCCGTTGCCCTGTTGGGGGGGGGGAGGAGGGCAGATGAGGCGTGTCACAGCCGCACCCAGTACAGGAGCGAGTGCAGAGTGCAGGGGTGAACAAGGAGGGGCATGCGAGGGGGAGGGGGATTGGCAAGGCACGCCCACAAAAGGTAGTGCAGTGCAAGCAAGGCAAAGACGGGTGATGAGAGAAGGAGAGAGAGGAGGGGTGGAGGGGAGCCCATATGCTCAGCCGCACGCAAAGTCACTTGCACAACCCCCCACCACCCCTCTCAACCCCCTTCTCCTTTCCCCTGCAGCACGCACCCTTCCCTTCCAGAAGCCCGTGGTCTTGAGCCCTCGAATGACGGGCTCTCGCCCCGGCGTGTACCGCTGTGCGTCGTACCACACGCGGAACGCCCGCCACGGCGCCGGCAGCAGCAGCTGCCCCCACGTGCCCACTAACGAGTACAAGAATGGCCGCCCCGTGTGCGCGATGGGCGGCGCCGGCTGGCCGGGCACGAGGCGCTGGCGCTGCAGGGAGATGCCGTACACGTTAGAGTCGTACTCGGTATGGTTGTAGTAGTAGCGGTGCAGCATGCGCTTGAGGTAGCAGTAGAAGAGCGGTGAGACGGCCACGTCGTCCTCGAGCACAAACGCAAACTCGTTGCTGCCGCTGGGCCACCACGCCTCCATCCACTGCACCTGCACCCCGCCGTTCATGCTGCGCACGTGTACCTGCATGACACAGCACAGCACCCCAACCGCCGGTCATGATTCGCAGAGACAGTCAACTCAAGCAGGGTTGGAGGTGCTGTTGTTTGTGACCCTCACATGCCGCAGTGCAGCTCTGCACGTGCTGACAGCCTAGCTCAGTGGGCACCGCTCTTGAAAACCCCCACCATGCGCACCTGCTTGTGGCCGTGCTGCCATGTGAACGAGTCCGCCACCGCCACCACCGATCGGAACTTTCGACGCTTCGATGTCACCTCCCCTGCCCCCCGCCTCTGCACCGCACCAACCACAGGACGCACCTCCCCCAGCCGCCGCCGCCCCTGCGCCTGCCCCCTCGCCCTCTGCGCCCTCTGCGCCCACAGCCGCCCCCGGTGGCGCCAGTTGGACAGGTCCCCCGCCTCCTCCACGCCAAACGAGCTGCGCCCCAGACCCACCACGCCGGGAGGCGCAAATCCGCGCTTCCTGCCGCCAACCAGCTGCGGATTCGCCTCAAACCCACGGCTCCGCGCCCCGCCTCCCGCCAGACCCCCCTCCGCTGTGGAGTCAGCCTGCAGCGGGTCGTCCGCCTGCTCTCCCGCCCCCAAAACGCGCCCTTCCGCCTGCCCGCCCGCGCCCCACGCGCGGCTGTCCAAGCGGTCTGTGACCTGGAGCGGGTCGTTCAGCTGCACGCCCGAGAACGGGTGGTCCACGTGGATGTCCAGTGACACGTCATCGCCGCCGTAGTCTGCCGCCCGCAATGATTGCAGGCAACGAGACAGGCTCGCCGCGCGGTCGAACGTGAGCACGATGAGCCGCACGTGCAGCCGCGACGCGTCGCGCGCGGAGCGATCCACCGAAGCTCGTCGGTCGTGCCCTTCGGTGGTGCTGCCGCTGCCGCTGCCAGCGGCCATGGCGAACGGTCGCGAATCGAGAGCGTCGGAGACAGCTGATACGTGCGGTCCGGATGGCGCGGAGAGGCGGTGGCAGATGGGCTGGATGACTTGCGACGAGAACGCAGAATGGGCGCTCAGTGCGACGCAAACGAGGACGACTATAACGAGAGAGACCGCGATACGAGGCAAGAAGAAGGCTGGCCGTTTGTAAACTCCCGTGGCTGTCGCTTGCGATTCACCCGCAGCTGACGTGGAGCGCTGGTGGTCCTTGACGCCCCCATCGGGATTGCCACGTGGCGGCGAGTCCACCCTCCGCGGGTGGCGCTGGCGCCACATGCCGGTTGCGCGTCGCGCGCCGTGGTGCTACCGCGCGAGCAGCAGCGACGGCGGAGATGCGACGACGTTTCGCGACACGGCGAATCAAGGCTGGGCACTGGCGCAACACGAGAAGTTGACAAATGTGCACAAAGAATGCCTTTTCCAAATCCGTGCAGCTTTGCTCAATATGTACTCGATATCAATTCCGTCGTTTCTGTACTCATGTTTGAGCAGAAAACATATCTGCAATATATTTGTATAGAAGTTCATCATTAGGGATTACAAGCCTTATTTCTGCTTGTTTCCACACCAACCCTCTATTTTGCGCTCCTTACGTGGCTCAACTTCAGCCGTTGGTTCCCCACATTGTACCCTTTTGTAACAGGTTCGGTAGACACTCCCACAGCAGTGACCCACGTCAATCCCCCAGCTTGTTCACTCGATCCCTGACTTCCCTTCTCATTCGTTACTGCATTTGTGTTTGGCCCAACCAGTCCCCCGTCATTGTGCCGCTATGGCCGCAACAAGCGCAGCAGCAGCCTCAGCGCTCGCGTCGCTTGCGGCGCGTCCGCACCTCGCGGAACTTCGCGCGGCGGGCCATTCCGTCGCAGCGGCCCCGCCGTGCGCCCTTTCGCTCAGATCGCCGTCGGATCGTTTTAACGCTGCGAGTGCTTCAGTCGCCCGCGACGTCGCACAGGTCGCCAGGCGATCCGCCCGTCGAGCGACGTGGATCGCCTCCGTGAACGGCGGGTCCGACGGACCCGTATACAGTGATGGCAACGAGAGCGACGACGCTGATGACGTGGCAGTCAGCGACGAGTCAGTGCCCGATGACATTCTCGAAACGCTCGCCCAGTCAGCTGCTGCCACACAAGCAGCAGCCACCATTTCCGCGAGCCTTGAAGCGAACGCGATTGCAGGCGGAGACTCCGCAGAAGAAGCGGCAGCCTTTGCGGCGGCGGAGGTGGCGGAGGCTGCAGCCCGCGCGCAGCAGCGGCAGCTGCGCGACCTGAAGCTGTGCCTGATCGACTCGCTCTACGGGACGGAGCGCGGGTTCCGCGCGAGCGGGGAGACGCGCGCGGAGGTGGCGGAGCTGGTGGCGCAGCTGGAAGCCGCCAACCCCACCGAGGCGCCCACCGAGTCGCCCGCGCTCGACGGCAACTGGGTGCTCGTGTGAGCCTCCTGCTGTCCTTTTGCCCGCCCAGTTATCCTCCTCCTCGCCCGCTCCCAACCCCCACCATTCTCCTCCCCCTCCCCCACCTTTCCTCCTGCCCCTGCCTCGTGTGTTCCCTTGTCATCGCCTCTCCCGTCCCGGCCGCCGCCGCTTCTCCCTCATTCCTCCGTGCCGCCACCCCTTCTCCCTCACGGCCGCCTCCCGCTCCCCTTTCTCCTCCTCGCCTTCTCCCCCATTCCCCCCACTCCTCCCCCCTCTTCCCCATCAGGTACACGTTCTCCGAGCTGCTACCGCTGCTGGCGGCGGGGCAGGTGCCGCTGGTGCGGGTGGGCGCCATCACGCAGAGCGTGGACCTAGCGGGGGGCGCGGTGAGCAACAGCATCTCGTTTGAGGGGCCGCTCACCTCCTCCTCCATCCGCGTGGACGCTAAGGCTGAGATCAGGAGTGGCAAGCGCCTGCAGGTGAGCCACCCATTGCTGCTGCTGGGGTGGGGTGGGTGGGCGCACAAGGAGATGAGGTGGTGCCGTGTCCAGATCCATGGAAAGCCCTCCGCTCGTGCCGGAACCGCCTCTCCCTCTTTCCCTCCCTTCCTTCTCACCTTCTCCTCTCCTTCTCCCTCTGCACTCCCCTCCCCCGTCTCTCCCCTATCTCACCCCCTCCACCCCGCCCGCCCACACCAGGTGAAGTTCGACCAGGTGACCTTCTCCTCGCCGCAGCCCCTCCACGCCGCCTCGCCGCCCTCCCTCGCACCCATCGCACTCTTCGGCCAGACCTTAGACCTCTCACCCCTGGCAGCAGTGCTGCAGCCGGTGCAGCAGGCGGCACTGGAGGTGGCGAAGCTGGTGTCGGGCGCACCGCCCCTGGCGCTGCCCATCGATGGCGAGCGCGCAGCGGGGTGGCAGCTCATCACGTACCTGGATGATGACTTCCGTATCGCCAGGGGTGATGCCGGGTCGCTGTTTGTCATGGTCAGGGAGGGCAGCGACCTGCTCGAGTGAGGGGGGGAGGGGGTTCTGCATGGGTGCTACAAGGGGCTCAAAGGCTTATCTCTGTTCAGCTGATAGTCAGTATGGCCACTAGGGCTTTGAAATATTGTCTGCATGATACACATTATACTAAGCATATTTGTAGCGTTACCGTGCTTGCTCATATCCTACTAATTAGGACAGGGGGGCAAAAACTGTTCGGGCTGTTGGTGGGGGAGGGCAACAACGCTTCCACGTCACTTGACTGGTATGAATGAATGCACTCTCAAGTCCCAATAAACCTCTTTCTTCACAACGCCTCTGCTTCACTTGCCACCTTGCTCTGCCCTGTGAATCACCATCCCTACCCTAATCATCGTTCGTGCATGAGCGGCGTCCGTGCACGAACAGGAGGATCCCTCCCAGGAAGGAACCCGTGCAGGCGCAGCTAGAGCTGGAAGACACGAGCCGTGTGGTCGTCCGACCCCGTCACCGCAAAGGCCGCGTCGCTGCAGGGGGTGGGGGGGAGGGGAGCAGTGGGACACGTGGCATGCAACGCAGGTCAGAGTGGTTCGAGGGGGAGGGGCAGGGCTGGTGGCATGCAGCGGTGTGTGATGGGCATGGTGGCTGATTGCATCCTTGGGCACGCAAGTGACTTTTGAGTCGACTCAAATGTGTGATGGGCATGGTGGCTGATTGCATCCTTGGGCACGCAAGTGACTTTTGAGTCGACTCAAATGTGTGATGGGCATGGTGGCTGATTGCATCCTTGGGCACGCAAGTGCAGATGCTCGAGTGGGAAGGAGGGGGACACATGTGCAGTCTAAGCATGCAAAACGATGGGGTTGAAAGCAATGGGTGGTGGGGGTGAGCGAGGGAAGGAGAGGGCTCACGGGGTGAGGGCCAGGGAGAGCACGGCATCACGGTTGCCTCGCAGGGTGTTCTGAATGGCCCCCGAGCGCGCATCCCACACGTGCACTGCTCCGTCTGCTGTCGCTGTCACCAGCACCGGTGCTGCTGGCGCCCATGCCATCTGCACCACCCCATCCTGCCGGGCGGCCACATCGGTGGCGTAGGTAGGAGAGGGGAGAGAGGGGAGGGGGAGGGGAGAGTGATGAAAGTGTGTATGTGTGAGTGCGTGGAGAGCATGACAGTGTGAGTGGCACATGGCACAAATCATGCAAGCCAGCACGGACAACGACGAGCAACGTGTGCAGCTGACCTGGTGGGTGCATGTGGAGCGCAGCTGCAGCGAGTTGATGTCAAATATGCGCACCGACCCATCCAGTGATGCCGTCGCCACCGTTGGCCCCCTGCCATGCACACACCCCGCACCCCGCACCCATGCATGCACGCACATGCACACGCAGAGGCAGCAGTGAGGGCAAGTTACAGTAGTGAGGGCAAGCTACAGCAGTGAGGGCAAGTTACAGTAGTGAGGGCAAGCTACAGCAGTGAGGGCAAGTTACAGCAGTGAGGGCAAGCTACAGCAGTAAGGGCAAGCTACAGCAGTGAGGGCAAGTTACAGCAGTGAGGGCAAGCTACAGCAGTGAGGGCAAGCTACAGCAGTGAGGGCAAGCTACAGCAGTGAGGGCAAGCTACAGCAGTGAGGGCAAGCTACAGCAGTGAGGGCAAGCTACAGCAGTGAGGGCAAGCTACAGCAGTGAGGGCAAGTTACAGCAGTGAGGGCAAGCTACAGCAGTGAGGGCAAGCTACAGCAGTGAGGGCAAGCTACAGCAGTGAGGGCAAGCTACAGCAGTGAGGGCAAGTTACAGCAGTGAGGGCAAGCTACAGCAGTGAGGGCAAGCTACAGCAGTGAGGGCAAGCTACAGCAGTGAGGGCAAGCTACAGCAGTGAGGGCAAGCTACAGCAGTGAGGGCAAGCTACAGCAGTGAGGGCAAGCTACAGCAGTGAGGGCAAGTTACAGCAGTGAGGGCAAGCTACAGCAGTGAGGGCAAGCTACAGCAGTGAGGGCAAGCTACAGCCCTTCCACTGCCTGTGAGATCGCAGGAATGCCACTCTCTCTGCCTCCCACTCGCTCTGACAGTGTGTGGCAGTGGCAAGAAGGGCGGGCGGGAGGCGAGGCAGTGGCAAGAGGGGCGGGCGGGAGGGAGAGTGAGACACTCACTGGGGGTTGAAGACCACCGCCTCCACTGAGTCTGTGTGCCCTGTCAGCAACCCCAACACCTGCACCGCCCCCATGCCATGCCACGCACGGCACCAGGTGCCATGCACATAGCCACGGGACAGATAATTTGGGAGACGAGAGTAATATGCGAAGAAGTGCCCTGTGCGGAGCTAGTAGGAAGGTGAGTGGCGGTGAGCAGAGCACAGCGTGAGAGGAGCAACGGCAGAGCACAGCGTGAGAGGATCAACGGCAGAGCACAGCGTGAGAGGAGCAACGGCAGAGCACAGCGTGAGAGGAGCAACGGCAGAGCACAGCGTGAGAGGAGCAACGGCAGAGCACAGCGTGAGAGGAGCAACGGCAGAGCACAGCGTGAGAGGAGCAACGGCAGAGCACAGCGTGAGAGGAGCAACGGCAGAGCACAGCGTGAGAGGAGCAACGGCAGAGCACAGCGTGAGAGGAGCAACGGCAGAGCACAGCGTGAGAGGAGCAACGGCAGAGCACAGCGTGAGAGGAGCAACGGCAGATCAGAGCGTGAGAGGAGCAACGGCAGATCAGAGCGTGAGAGGAGCAACGGCAGAGCACAGCGTGAGAGGAGCAACGGCAGAGCACAGCGTGAGAGGAGCAACGGCAGAGCACAGCGTGAGAGGAGCAACGGCAGAGCACAGCGTGAGAGGAGCAACGGCAGAGCACAGCGTGAGAGGAGCAACGGCAGAGCACAGCGTGAGAGGAGCAACGGCAGAGCACAGCGTGAGAGGAGCAACGGCAGATCAGAGCGTGAGAGGAGCAACGGCAGATCAGAGCGTGAGAGGAGCAACGGCAGAGCACAGCGTGAGAGGAGCAACGGCAGATCAGAGCGTGAGAGGAGCAACGGCAGAGCACAGCGTGAGAGGAGCAACGGCAGATCAGAGCGTGAGAGGAGCAACGGCAGATCAGAGCGTGAGAGGAGCAACGGCAGATCAGAGCGTGAGAGGAGCAACGGCAGAGCACAGCGTGAGAGGAGCAACGGCAGAGCACAGCGTGAGAGGAGCAACGGCAGATCAGAGCGTGAGAGGAGCAACGGCAGATCAGAGCGTGAGAGGAGCAACGGCAGATCAGAGCGTGAGAGGAGCAACGGCAGATCAGAGCGTGAGAGGAGCAACGGCAGATCCGAGCGAGAGTGAGCGAGCAAGGAGACAGCAGTAGAAGCAGCATGCGGCATGACATGCAGTGGCAGGCACGACAGCAGCCCCACCTTGGGTTGCTGCAGGCCGAAGAGGGCGGTGGTGTGGTCGGAGGAGCCAGCAGCGCCCACTGAGCCCTGTGGTGCCATGGCCACACACGTGATGGCGTCGCTGTGGAACAATGGGCCTGCCACATGCCGTGCACACAGGGGTGGGGTGATGGAGCAATGGCGCATAAGGCATGGAGCATGGGGCATGGAAATCGTGCAAGGGGCATGGGGCAAGGGGCACGGGTAATTGGGCATGGCACATGGAAGGCCAGTTGAGAGAGAGAGACACCACCATTGCATATGTGAGGTGAGAGAGGTGGGGGAGGCGAGAGGTGGGACCAGTGAGAGGGTTGGGAGGGAAGAGAGGGGTAGGAGGGGCGAGAGGTGGGCGAGAGGTGGGTGAGGTGGGAGAGGTGGAAGAGGTGGGCGAGGTGGGCGAGGTGGGAGAGGTGGGAGAGGTGGGCGAGGTGGGCGAGGAGGGCGAGGTGGGAGAAGGGAGAGCGTTGTCCTGAGACCTGCGAGGGTGGCGGTGGTGGCGGCAGAGCGCGGGTCCCAGCAGCGCACGGACCCGTCTGTTGACCCCGTCCACACTGCACGGCCTGGTGGGTGGGGGAGAAGGGGGGGAGGAGGATTGCGAGGGGAAGGAGAGCGATGAGTAGGGGGTGGAGGAAGGGACTTTGAGTCGACTCAAAAGTCGCACTGACCCATCGGCCTGCCCGATCCACACTGCCCGGCTTGGTGGCGCGGAGAGGAAGCGGTGGAACGGGGTGGGAAGGGGTGGACGGGAAGGGGGAGGGTAAGTGGGGCATGCGAGCAAGGCAGAAGTGTGCTTCTGTGACTCTGCGCTGCTCTGCTCTGCTATGCGCTGCTCTGCTGTGTGCTGGACCGTACAGTGGGCTCTGTGGAAGTGCAGCAAGGCACGAGGAGAAATGGGAGCAGAGGGAGCAGGGGGAGCATGTACCATCGGGGGAGAAGGCCCCACAGGTGACCCACCATCGGGGGAGAAGGCCCCACTGGTGACCCACCATCGGGGGAGAAGGCCCCACAGGTGACCCACCATCGGGGGAGAAGGCCCCACTGGTGACCCACCATCGGGGGAGAAGGCCCCACTGGTGACCCACCATCGGGGGAGAAGGCCCCACTGGTGACCCACCATCGGGGGAGAAGGCCCCACTGGTGACCCACCATCGGGGGAGAAGGCCCCACAGGTGACCCACCATCGGGGGAGAAGGCCCCACAGGTGACCCACCATCGGGGGAGAAGGCCCCACAGGTGACCCACCATCGGGGGAGAAGGCCCCACAGGTGACCCACCATCGGGGGAGAAGGCCCCACTGGTGACCCACCATCGGGGGAGAAGGCCCCACTGGTGACCCACCATCGGGGGAGAAGGCCCCACTGGTGACCCACCATCGGGGGAGAAGGCCCCACAGGTGACCCACCATTGGGGGAGAAGGCCCCACAGGTGACCCACCATCGGGGGAGAAGGCCCCACAGGTGACCCACCATCGGGGGAGAAGGCCCCACAGGTGACCCACCATCGGGGGAGAAGGCCCCACAGGTGACCCACCATCGGGGGAGAAGGCCCCACAGGTGACCCACCATCGGGGGAGAAGGCCCCACTGGTGACCCACCATCGGGGGAGAAGGCCCCACAGGTGACCCACCATCGGGGGAGAAGGCCCCACTGGTGACCCACCATCGGGGGAGAAGGCCCCACTGGTGACCCACCATCGGGGGAGAAGGCCCCACTGGTGACCCACCATCGGGGGAGAAGGCCCCACAGGTGACCCACCATCGGGGGAGAAGGCCCCACAGGTGACCCACCATCGGGGGAGAAGGCCCCACAGGTGACCCACCATCGGGGGAGAAGGCCCCACAGGTGACCCACCATCGGGGGAGAAGGCCCCACTGGTGACCCACCATCGGGGGAGAAGGCCCCACTGGTGACCCACCATCGGGGGAGAAGGCCCCACTGGTGACCCACCATCGGGGGAGAAGGCCCCACAGGTGACCCACCATTGGGGGAGAAGGCCCCACAGGTGACCCACCATCGGGGGAGAAGGCCCCACAGGTGACCCACCATCGGGGGAGAAGGCCCCACAGGTGACCCACCATCGGGGGAGAAGGCCCCACAGGTGACCCACCATCGGGGGAGAAGGCCCCACTGGTGACCCACCATCGGGGGAGAAGGCCCCACTGGTGACCCACCATCGGGGGAGAAGGCCCCACTGGTGACCCACCATCGGGGGAGAAGGCCCCACAGGTGACCCACCATCGGGGGAGAAGGCCCCACAGGTGACCCACCATCGGGGGAGAAGGCCCCACAGGTGACCCACCATCGGGGGAGAAGGCCCCACTGGTGACCCACCATCGGGGGAGAAGGCCCCACTGGTGACCCACCATCGGGGGAGAAGGCCCCACTGGTGACCCACCATCGGGGGAGAAGGCCCCACAGGTGACCCACCATCGGGGGAGAAGGCCCCACAGGTGACCCACCATCGGGGGAGAAGGCCCCACAGGTGACCCACCATTGGGGGAGAAGGCCCCACAGGTGACCCACCATCGGGGGAGAAGGCCCCACAGGTGACCCACCATCGGGGGAGAAGGCCCCACTGGTGACCCACCATCGGGGGAGAAGGCCCCACTGGTGACCCACCATGGGGGGAGAAGGCCCCACAGGTGACCCACCATCGGGGGAGAAGGCCCCACTGGTGACCCACCATCGGGGGAGAAGGCCCCACTGGTGACCCACCATCGGGGGAGAAGGCCCCACTGGTGACCCACCATCGGGGGAGAAGGCCCCACTGGTGACGCACCATCGGGGGAGAAGGCCCCACAGGTGACCCACCATCGGGGGAGAAGGCCCCACAGGTGACCCACCATCGGGGGAGAAGGCCCCACAGGTGACCCACCATCGGGGGAGAAGGCCCCACTGGTGACCCACCATCGGGGGAGAAGGCCCCACTGGTGACCCACCATCGGGGGAGAAGGCCCCACAGGTGACCCACCATCGGGGGAGAAGGCCCCACAGGTGACCCACCATCGGGGGAGAAGGCCCCACAGGTGACCCACCATCGGGGGAGAAGGCCCCACAGGTGACCCACCATCGGGGGAGAAGGCCCCACAGGTGACCCACCATCGGGGGAGAAGGCCCCACAGGTGACCCACCATCGGGGGAGAAGGCCCCACTGGTGACCCACCATCGGGGGAGAAGGCCCCACAGGTGACCCACCATCGGGGGAGAAGGCCCCACTGGTGACCCACCATCGGGGGAGAAGGCCCCACAGGTGACCCACCATCGGGGGAGAAGGCCCCACTGGTGACCCACCATCGGGGGAGAAGGCCCCACTGGTGACCCACCATCGGGGGAGAAGGCCCCACTGGTGACCCACCATCGGGGGAGAAGGCCCCACAGGTGACCCACCATCGGGGGAGAAGGCCCCACTGGTGACCCACCATCGGGGGAGAAGGCCCCACTGGTGACCCACCATCGGGGGAGAAGGCCCCACTGGTGACCCACCATCGGGGGAGAAGGCCCCACAGGTGACCCACCATCGGGGGAGAAGGCCCCACAGGTGACCCACCATCGGGGGAGAAGGCCCCACAGGTGACCCACCATCGGGGGAGAAGGCCCCACTGGTGACCCACCATCGGGGGAGAAGGCCCCACAGGTGACCCACCATCGGGGGAGAAGGCCCCACAGGTGACCCACCATCGGGGGAGAAGGCCCCACTGGTGACCCACCATCGGGGGAGAAGGCCCCACTGGTGACCCACCATCGGGGGAGAAGGCCCCACTGGTGACCCACCATCGGGGGAGAAGGCCCCACAGGTGACCCACCATCGGGGGAGAAGGCCCCACAGGTGACCCACCATCGGGGGAGAAGGCCCCACAGGTGACCCACCATCGGGGGAGAAGGCCCCACAGGTGACCCACCATCGGGGGAGAAGGCCCCACTTGTGACCCACCATCGGGGGAGAAGGCCCCACAGGTGACCCACCATCGGGGGAGAAGGCCCCACAGGTGACCCACCATCGGGGGAGAAGGCCCCACTTGTGACCCACCATCGGGGGAGAAGGCCCCACTGGTGACCCACCATCGGGGGAGAAGGCCCCACTGGTGACCCACCATCGGGGGAGAAGGCCCCACAGGTGACCCACCATCGGGGGAGAAGGCCCCACAGGTGACCCACCATCGGGGGAGAAGGCCCCACAGGTGACCCACCATCGGGGGAGAAGGCCCCACTGGTGACCCACCATCGGGGGAGAAGGCCCCACTGGTGAACCACCATCGGGGGAGAAGGCCCCACTGGTGACCCACCATCGGGGGAGAAGGCCCCACAGGTGACCCACCATCGGGGGAGAAGGCCCCACTGGTGACCCACCATCGGGGGAGAAGGCCCCACAGGTGACCCACCATCGGGGGAGAAGGCCCCACTGGTGACCCACCATCGGGGGAGAAGGCCCCACTGGTGACCCACCATCGGGGGAGAAGGCCCCACAGGTGACCCACCATCGGGGGAGAAGGCCCCACAGGTGACCCACCATCGGGGGAGAAGGCCCCACTGGTGACCCACCATCGGGGGAGAAGGCCCCACAGGTGACCCACCATCGGGGGAGAAGGCCCCACTGGTGACCCACCATCGGGGGAGAAGGCCCCACTGGTGACCCACCATCGGGGGAGAAGGCCCCACAGGTGACCCACCATCGGGGGAGAAGGCCCCACAGGTGACCCACCATCGGGGGAGAAGGCCCCACAGGTGACCCACCATCGGGGGAGAAGGCCCCACAGGTGACCCACCATCGGGGGAGAAGGCCCCACAGGTGACCCACCATCGGGGGAGAAGGCCCCACAGGTGACCCACCATCGGGGGAGAAGGCCCCACTGGTGACCCACCATCGGGGGAGAAGGCCCCACTGGTGACCCACCATCGGGGGAGAAGGCCCCATAGGTGACCCACCATCGGGGGAGAAGGCCCCACAGGTGACCCACCATCGGGGGAGAAGGCCCCACTGGTGACCCACCATCGGGGGAGAAGGCCCCACAGGTGACCCACCATCGGGGGAGAAGGCCCCACAGGTGACCCACCATCGGGGGAGAAGGCCCCACAGGTGACCCACCATCGGGGGAGAAGGCCCCACAGGTGACCCACCATCGGGGGAGAAGGCCCCACTGGTGACCCACCATCGGGGGAGAAGGCCCCACTGGTGACCCACCATCGGGGGAGAAGGCCCCACTGGTGACCCACCATCGGGGGAGAAGGCCCCACAGGTGACCCACCATCGGGGGAGAAGGCCCCACAGGTGACCCACCATCGGGGGAGAAGGCCCCACAGGTGACCCACCATCGGGGGAGAAGGCCCCACTGGTGACCCACCATCGGGGGAGAAGGCCCCACTGGTGACCCACCATCGGGGGAGAAGGCCCCACTGGTGACCCACCATCGGGGGAGAAGGCCCCACAGGTGACCCACCATCGGGGGAGAAGGCCCCACAGGTGACCCCTGCGCTGTGCCCCGTGAAGACGGCCATGCACGCCCCCGTCTCCGCATTCCACATCCACGCTGTCAGATCCTCCGACCCCGCCAGTACCACCGCTCCACGTGGATGCCACGTCAGGAACTGCGCAGGGATGAGAGAGGCAGTGAGGGGAGGGAGGCGAGAGACGGTGAGAAGGCAGTGGTGGACAGGGGCAGGGCGAGAGAAGAGACAAGAGTGAGTGAGCGTGCCTTCGCCACACCGGGCACAGCGACCATACAGCAGTGGGGGTTGCAACGGAGAGGAAGGAGGGGGAGTGCCCTGCCGTGCCGGGCTGACCTCGATGCCCTCCCCGGGCCCCTCGAGGCGGTGGCGCCTCTCCCCTGTGGCGGCGTCCCACAGCATGACCACTCCGTCCAGCCCCGCCGTGGCCACCCACCGCCCGTCCGCACTGAACTCCACCGCCGCTATGCTGTCCCTGTGCCCTGCCATGCGGAGGGGGGGAGGTGAGGGCGGAGAGAAAGGAGGGAAGCGGGTCTGAGGCCAGGAAATGCTTGGCACGCGGCAGGCAGAAATGGCAGCGACCTTCTCTCCTGCCACCGACCCATCCGTGCATGGCATGGTGGCGTGGTGGCATGGTGGCATACTGGCATGTGCTATTGACCCACCCACCCACAGTGGCATCCCACCTTCCAGCTTGATGGGGTCCTCCGCCTGCCCGATGGTCCACAGGTACCCCACCTCGTCCCCGCCACCCGACGCCACTCTGCCGCCCGGGAGAGGGCTGCACGCCACGGCGTACACACTGTCTGGTGGGCGGCAGGGGGAGGGGTGAGAAGAGAGAGAGAGAGAGGTGTTGCATAGGCGTATGGCAGGCACAGCAGCGGGCACAGCAGCGGGCACAGCAGCAAGCGCTATGCAGGTGTGGCATGCAGTGCTGAAGAGAGGACAAGAGCACCGACCTGTGTGCGCCGTGAACACATGCACTGAGTCGTCCTGCCCCGCCTCCTCATCCTCCTCGCCCTCCTCTTGCCCTGCCACCATCCACCCCACAGCAGCACGCAATTAGTCACGGCACGTGCAGCACAGGGCAATGCATGAGAAGGGGCAACGGAAGGCAGTCAGTGCAGCAGCAGTGATGGAGCAGCAGCAGTGATGGAGCAGCAGTGATGGAGCAGCAGTGATGGAGCAGCAGTGATGGAGCAGCAGTGATGGAGCAGCAGTGATGGAGCAGCACTGATGGAGCAGCAGTGATGGAGCAGCAGTGACGGAGCAGCAGTGATGGAGCAGCAGTGATGGAGCAGCACTGATGGAGCAGCAGTGATGGAGCAGCAGTGATGGAGCAGCAGTGATGGAGCAGCAGTGATGGAGCAGCAGTGATGGAGCAGCAGTGATGGAGCAGCAGTGATGGAGCAGCAGTGATGGAGCAGCAGTGCGGCTGAACAGTACAGTGGAGTGCTCCTATTTCCATTCCCATTCCCACCCTTACAGCAAGCACAGGCACGCCGCCATGCCACCATGCCATGACCCCGATTTCCCCATTCATACACACCCACCTCCCACCACCACCCGTAGCCCTGCTCACCCATGCCGTCGTGTGCCAGCTCAGCAGGCGCGTCGTCGTCATCAAAGTCGGCCGACAGGACGTCATCGTCTGATGTGCGCACGGGGCAGCAGCGGCAAGGGGGAGTGGAAGGGAAATGAATGAGGCGAGGGCGAGTAGTTGAGGGGAAAGGGAAGCGGCACAGAAACTGAGTGAAGACAGGCTTGACCTGCCAGGCTTGGTCTCCCAGGCTTGGCCTCCCAGGCTTGGTCTCCCAGGCTTGGCCTCCCAGGCTTGGTCTCCCAGGCTAGGCTTCCCAGGCTTGGTCTCCCTGGCTTGGCCTGCCAGGCTTGGGATGCAACAACGAGAGCTCAAAAGGCAGCAACAGCATGGAGGAGCAGGCAACAACGCACGTGATTGCATGGCTGCTTTCTCCCACCATGTCATTACCTGCCACCTCAGCACCCACCCGTCCCCACCGCCACCCCTCCACCCGTCACCGCGCCTGCAGCTCCCAGCCCAAAACCCTCCCGAGCGACGCTAAAACCCCTGCTAACCCCTCAACCCCCTCAACTCATCCCAACTGCCAATCCCACCCGCTGCTACATCCCACTCCCTTCCTCCCTTTCCCGCCCCCCCACCCTTTCTCCTCACCCCATCCTGCCCACCTCCGCAGTCGATTTCAACCAGCTCCTCGTCCCCTTCGCCCATCTCCGCGAATTCCTCCTCCCCTTCACGCCCCTCCTCCCCTTCCCCCTCCCGCTCTCCCCCGCGCATGCCGTTGGGCGGTCGCGACTGCACAGGGGTTCGGAGGGAGAGGAGCAGGGGTGATGGGGGACGGGATGGGGGGAGCACGGCGCGTGACTGAGGAGTGGAGAGTGGGCATGGGCGGGTGGGTGAGCCAAGGCGACTTTTAGAAAAGGAGGGTGAGCGAGCAAGTCAACGCGAGGCAGACGGAAAGAGATGCAATTGAAACACGGGTGGGAGCGAACGAGGCGGCGCGCAGCAGCGGGCATGGCGGCTGCGCCGGACGCCATGGCGGTGAAATCAGATTGGGGCGAGGGGACGCGACAGGGCGTGACGCGTGCAACGGACCATGCGAAGCGGGTGTGGTGCGGCTGTCGGCGACGAGCGTGTGGGTGCGAAAAAGGGACCGGTGCCCTCCGCGGTTCCCCCAGGGATGGCGCGAGGTCGAGAGCAGCGGGGAATAATGTAGTGGGTGCACGGCGGGACGAGACGTCTCGAAGCACGCGAGAGAGGCTGACGTCACGGCGGTGCGAGAAGGACAGTGGGTAGACAAGAGAGCAGCTAATTGTAGTGAGCGCCTCAATGTGAACCCACGCTTTCCTATCTTCATATGCTCGGACGGCGTCTTTGATACATTCCCGAAATTCTGTGGGAAAATATGCCACTCGTAATCAACAAGGGTCTCGATAATATGGTTGGTAAAAAAATAACGGGTACGGTCACTGCAAAGGGTGTTTTCACGTGTTTGATAAAAAGTTTCACAGAATCAGTCACAATCAACTGGGAAAAAATAACGGAATGGTCACAGATGAAACTCCTGCCCAAAAAAAATAATACCCAAAACGAACCTGGATGCATTTTCGGATGAATCAACCCTAAACACAACTCACCAGTTGTTTAGGGTTGATCCGTTCCCAAACCGCATCCGAATCCGATTGGGTTTTAGTATTTTTAGAAATTAGCTGATTGGTTGAGCGCGAGCGGGAGTTTGGTAGAGTCTCAAGAAATTTTGGCGGGAGTTACATGTGGGACCATTCACGTGATTTTTCACCTGTTGTTACTGACTGAATCCGTGACCCCACTTACCAAACCCGTCAGCAAACCCGATACAGTGACCGTACGCGTTACTTTTTTACCATTCACGTTATCGAGTTCCGTTTTGGTTAGTTTTGAAATATTCTCCCAAATTCTGTTCCACCACGTAACAGGATCACATTCTCGCGGACGAAGTGTTCTTTTTCCTGGATCAATTTTCGTGGACTAAAACTACATGCAAACCAAACAACTTTGGGTCGGTCCCTGCGAACCGAGCCACTCCCAGCATGCTCAGCTGGAGCAGCTCTAGATTGAAACACGCCCTCGACCCCATTTGCAACCCAACTCACCCCCACGCACAGTATCGACATGTAAATGCTTCGCCGCTCCCCATAAACCCTGCTTTGTTGACAGTGATCGTTCCACCAACGTTACCTGATCGTCTATGCTTTTCAGGCGTCACGTGGTGCACCGGTTCGTCCCGACCCGATTGTAGTCCCACCTTTGCCACGCCGCTCACCGTCGTCGACTCCTTTCTTCACTCGCGCGCCGTAGCCTCGCCGCCCGCCAACCATCGAAGTCCCCATCTATCCGCCTCTCCCCCGCCTCGCATTCCTCCCCCGCCGCTCTGCCATGGTGGTGCGCGAGGCGCCCCCGCTGGAGCAGGTGCGGCGGCTCGGCGCGCAGCTGCTGCAGTCGCGGGAGCACGTCAACAACGTCGTCGCGCTGCTGCGATTCGCCGCGCATCGCGACGGCGAGGTGGCGGCGGAGGCGGTGACGGTGCTGCAGGCGTTCTTCGCGCAGCTGCTGCGCTCCGACGAGCTGCTGCTCCACCCCGCGCCCTGTATGCCCCCCGCGGCCCAGTATAATTCTTGCCCCCAGGATAATCCCTGAACCCTCATAATCCCCATCCCTACCGTTTCCCCTCGAAACCCACTCTCTCCCCCGTCATGTTGCGGAATCCCGCCATTGTGCGCCGTTGCCTGGCAAGACGGCGCAGAAGGGGCTCTGCCAGCCAGTGCCGCAGCTCCAGCCTTCCACGCCTCTCATGCGCCCCTCCTTCCCCTTCTCCACTTCCCTTCGTGCCACGTGGCAGCCAGCCGCGCGGGCGGTGCGGGCGGGCGGGCGCGGGAGGAGCGGGCGAAGGAGGAGGTGTATCAGCAATGGGCGCGCGCGCGGTACGGCGAGTACACGGGCGCGCTCAAGGCGCGCCTCAGATCCGCGGAGGGCAGTGCCGCTAGCAAGGTGCGCGGAGGCGCGGGTGGGAGAGGGGAATCGTGTTGGTGGGGCCGGGCATGGGGAGCAGATAGGCGCGTAGAAGGACGTGGAAGGCGGGGGCGCATCGCAGGGGGGATGCTGGGGGAGAGTGAAGGCGAGGGGGAATGGGGGGTGGGGAGAGGGCGGTGCAGGCAGGAGCAGGGCGGATGGCGGATGGCGGAGGGCGGGGAGGAGGAAGGCCGTGGCGATGGGTGGGCGACTGTGGTCCGGGGGACGAATGCATGTGCCATGCACTTCACTGGGTGTGAACATCCACACTATCCTTCTTCCTCCCCTCTACGCGCTCCCCCACCGCTCCCCCACCAGCGCATAGCGGTGGAGCATCTGATGGAGCTGGCTCGTTTGGAAAAGAAGGGCGGCCTGGCTGGCGCCACCATCAATAAAATACTCATCCCCCTGGTGAGCCGTGCCATGCCATGCCCATTCACACGAACCGCTCTTCCATGACCATCATTGCCAATCGTCTCCTGATCGTTTTCCTCCTCTCCCTTTTTCCCAACTCCCCCACCTTCCCCCTCTCCCCCTCCTCTCCTCTCCGCTTCCCCCTCAGGTGGAAGGCGAGGCGGGGGACCCCTCAGTGCTCGCCAAGCTCGCCTCCTTCTTCACCCATGCTGACGTCAGGTGGGTGCATGTTTCGGTGCAGTGCACATGGCATGCTGTGGTGCCACTGCTCGTGCATCCCGTGCATGCCGTCCCCATCACCATCACCACTCGCACCCACCATCATTGTCCTTCGCCGCCCCTCTCACCCCCACACCCGCGCTCCCACGCCACGCCATGGCAGGCGGCATGTGTACGGGGCAGTGGAGCAGCTGTGTGCGTCCATGGCTGCTGCAGCCACCAAGCACACAAGCGCTGCTGAGGATGCTGATGGCCATGCAGGTGCGCCACCTGCATGCCACTGTGTTGGGCTGGGCCATCATCTGCCTGCACACACACACACTACATTCCACGTCCCTGCTTCGCTTCTTGCTGTCTTGCCTTCAATCCAATGAAATACATACTTTAGCCCAAGGCAAACACTGCTGCCTGTTTTTCAATAGTAGTGCCCAATGACAATGCTCGTGCATTCCTTCTCCATCTCTCATCCCCATTCTCCTCCGTGTGCACCCTGCCACCACAACCGCGCGTGCCTGCTCACACACGCCATGTGCTGCACGCTGGATCGTGCCTGCGTGCCCGCCTTCCTCCCTGCCTGCCTGCGTGCTCCCGGCCTGCCTGCGGGCCACGTGTGCATGCACGAGCGCGCTCAGCCGTCGCCAAGCGAGTGAGTATCCGCCCACACCGCGCCCCTGTGCACTGCCAGTGGCTTCACCACTGAACCTGTGTGCTTCCCCACTCGCTGCACACCAACCACGCCTCACACCAACCACGCCTCACACCAACCACGCCTCACACCTCCTGCTGTGCTGTGCTGCACTGCGCTGCGCTCTTCTCAAACAGTGTCTCTTCTCCTCATTGTCATCACCTCTCCTCCCACGCACCAATCACAGGACGCCATGTGTCTCAACATACTGGAGGTGCTCCTAGCCATGCCCATGCCGCCCGCCCCCAAGCCGGGCGGCAAGAGATTGGTGGCGGAGGTGGGGCAGGGCGGGGGCGAGCAGGACGACCTGCTCTCCACCTGGGCGCTGCCCGCCCCGCCCTCCGGTGCGTGCTGCCTTGGGCTGGGTGGGGTCCCCACCGCTCCCTCTTCCCCCGCACTTGCCTTTCTTGCTTGTCACTTGCCGTTCTTGCTTGTCACTTGCGCTCATCTCCCTGCCCGCCACCCTCTCACTGCCACTCTGCCTTCCGCTCGTCTCTTCCCCAACCCCTGTGGAGCACAGGGGCAGCGCAGCAGCGGGGGGGCAAGCAGAGTGCCGGTGGCAAGCGAGGGAGACAGGCAGGGCAGCAGGGCAGCAGGAAGCGGGCTGCGGGGATGAAAGACGAGGGGGGGAGGGAGGAAGAGGGGGACCAGGGGGAGGGGGAGGTGGAGGAGAGGAGGGCAGCGGTGGTGAGGGAGGAGCGCAAGGCCCTGGCAGGGGCGTGGCTGGGGCTGCTCGCCCTGCCTCTGCCCCTTGAAGCTTACAAGAAGGTCGGTACTACCACCCCCCCTCGCCACACCCCGCACCCCTTCTGCCCCAACATCTCCACCCCCCCCCCTCCCCCCCCCCCTCCCCTCCACGCAATCTACAATTAAACCGTAAACCCGTTTGGCATCTTCCGTTTCTCAACATTGCCTTCTCTCGTGGCCCATCCCTTGGCGCGCCCTCCACCATGCCACAGGTGTTGGGTCGACTGCACAACCTCATTCCACATCTGCCCAATCCCTTGCTGCTCAGGTGCGCTCCTGCCCCTCCCCCCACCCCTCTCACCTCCTGCCACCTCGTCCAAAGCATGTTTCTCGTCCAAAGCATGTTTCTCGTCCAAAGCATGTTTCTCGTCCAAAGCATGTTTCTCGTCCAAAGCATGTTTCTCGTCCAATGCATGTTTCTCGTCCAATGCATGTTTCTCGTCCAAAGCATGTTTCTCGTCCAATGCATGTTTCTCGTCCAAAGCATGTTTCTCGTCCAATGCATGTTTCTCGTCCAATGCATGTTTCTCGTCCAAAGCATGTTTCTCGTCCAATGCATGTTTCTCGTCCAAAGCATGTTTCTCGTCCAAAGCATGTTTCTCGTCCAATGCATGTTTCTCGTCCAAAGCATGTTTCTCGTCCAAAGCATGTTTCTCGTCCAATGCATGTTTCTCGTCCAATGCATGTTTCTCGTCCAATGCATGTTTCTCGTCCAAAGCATGTTTCTCGTCCAATGCATGTTTCTCGTCCAATGCATGTTTCTCGTCCAAAGCATGTTTCTCGTCCAATGCATGTTTCTCGTCCAAAGCATGTTTCTCGTCCAAAGCATGTTTCTCGTCCAAAGCATGTTTCTCGTCCAAAGCATGTTTCTCGTCCAATGCATGTTTCTCGTCCAAAGCATGTTTCTCGTCCAAAGCATGTTTCTCGTCCAAAGCATGTTTCTCGTCCAAAGCATGTTTCTCGTCCAAAGCATGTTTCTCGTCCAATGCATGTTTCTCGTCCAATGCATGTTTCTCGTCCAAAGCATGTTTCTCGTCCAATGCATGTTTCTCGTCCAAAGCATGTTTCTCGTCCAAAGCATGTTTCTCGTCCAATGCATGTTTCTCGTCCAAAGCATGTTTCTCGTCCAAAGCATGTTTCTCGTCCAATGCATGTTTCTCGTCCAAAGCATGTTTCTCGTCCAATGCATGTTTCTCGTCCAATGCATGTTTCTCGTCCAAAGCATGTTTCTCGTCCAATGCATGTTTCTCGTCCAATGCATGTTTCTCGTCCAAAGCATGTTTCTCGTCCAATGCATGTTTCTCGTCCAAAGCATGTTTCTCGTCCAAAGCATGTTTCTCGTCCAAAGCATGTTTCTCGTCCAAAGCATGTTTCTCGTCCAAATGCATGTTTCTCGTCCAAAGCATGTTTCTCGTCCAAAGCATGTTTCTCGTCCAAAGCATGTTTCTCGTCCAAAGCATGTTTCTCGTCCAAAGCATGTTTCTCGTCCAAAGCATGTTTCTCGTCCAATGCATGTTTCTCGTCCAATGCATGTTTCTCGTCCAAAGCATGTTTCTCGTCCAATGCATGTTTCTCGTCCAAAGCATGTTTCTCGTCCAAAGCATGTTTCTCGTCCAATGCATGTTTCTCGTCCAAAGCATGTTTCTCGTCCAAAGCATGTTTCTCGTCCAATGCATGTTTCTCGTCCAAAGCATGTTTCTCGTCCAAAGCATGTTTCTCGTCCAATGCATGTTTCTCGTCCAATGCATGTTTCTCGTCCAAAGCATGTTTCTCGTCCAAAGCATGTTTCTCGTCCAATGCATGTTTCTCGTCCAATGCATGTTTCTCGTCCAATGCATGTTTCTCGTCCAAAGCATGTTTCTCGTCCAAAGCATGTTTCTCGTCCAATGCATGTTTCTCGTCCAAAGCATGTTTCTCGTCCAATGCATGTTTCTCGTCCAAAGCATGTTTCTCGTCCAAAGCATGTTTCTCGTCCAAAGCATGTTTCTCGTCCAAAGCATGTTTCTCGTCCAATGCATGTTTCTCGTCCAAAGCATGTTTCTCGTCCAAAGCATGTTTCTCGTCCAATGCATGTTTCTCGTCCAAAGCATGTTTCTCGTCCAAAGCATGTTTCTCGTCCAAAGCATGTTTCTCGTCCAATGCATGTTTCTCGTCCAAAGCATGTTTCTCGTCCAAAGCATGTTTCTCGTCCAATGCATGTTTCTCGTCCAAAGCATGTTTCTCGTCCAATGCATGTTTCTCGTCCAAAGCATGTTTCTCGTCCAAAGCATGTTTCTCGTCCAATGCATGTTTCTCGTCCAAAGCATGTTTCTCGTCCAAAGCATGTTTCTCGTCCAATGCATGTTTCTCGTCCAAAGCATGTTTCTCGTCCAATGCATGTTTCTCGTCCAAAGCATGTTTCTCGTCCAAAGCATGTTTCTCGTCCAAAGCATGTTTCTCGTCCAATGCATGTTTCTCGTCCAATGCATGTTTCTCGTCCAAAGCATGTTTCTCGTCCAAAGCATGTTTCTCGTCCAAAGCATGTTTCTCGTCCAAAGCATGTTTCTCGTCCAATGCATGTTTCTCGTCCAAAGCATGTTTCTCGTCCAAAGCATGTTTCTCGTCCAATGCATGTTTCTCGTCCAATGCATGTTTCTCGTCCAATGCATGTTTCTCGTCCAAAGCATGTTTCTCGTCCAAAGCATGTTTCTCGTCCAAAGCATGTTTCTCGTCCAAAGCATGTTTCTCGTCCAATGCATGTTTCTCGTCCAATGCATGTTTCTCGTCCAAAGCATGTTTCTCGTCCAATGCATGTTTCTCGTCCAATGCATGTTTCTCGTCCAAAGCATGTTTCTCGTCCAAAGCATGTTTCTCGTCCAAAGCATGTTTCTCGTCCAATGCATGTTTCTCGTCCAATGCATGTTTCTCGTCCAAAGCATGTTTCTCGTCCAAAGCATGTTTCTCGTCCAATGCATGTTTCTCGTCCAAAGCATGTTTCTCGTCCAAAGCATGTTTCTCGTCCAAAGCATGTTTCTCGTCCAAAGCATGTTTCTCGTCCAATGCATGTTTCTCGTCCAAAGCATGTTTCTCGTCCAAAGCATGTTTCTCGTCCAATGCATGTTTCTCGTCCAAAGCATGTTTCTCGTCCAATGCATGTTTCTCGTCCAATGCATGTTTCTCGTCCAAAGCATGTTTCTCGTCCAAAGCATGTTTCTCGTCCAATGCATGTTTCTCGTCCAATGCATGTTTCTCGTCCAATGCATGTTTCTCGTCCAAAGCATGTTTCTCGTCCAATGCATGTTTCTCGTCCAAAGCATGTTTCTCGTCCAAGCATGTTTCTCGTCCAAAGCATGTTTCTCGTCCAAGCATGTTTCTCGTCCAAAGCATGTTTCTCGTCCAATGCATGTTTCTCGTCCAAAGCATGTTTCTCGTCCAAAGCATGTTTCTCGTCCAATGCATGTTTCTCGTCCAAAGCATGTTTCTCGTCCAAAGCATGTTTCTCGTCCAATGCATGTTTCTCGTCCAATGCATGTTTCTCGTCCAAAGCATGTTTCTCGTCCAAAGCATGTTTCTCGTCCAAAGCATGTTTCTCGTCCAATGCATGTTTCTCGTCCAAAGCATGTTTCTCGTCCAAAGCATGTTTCTCGTCCAATGCATGTTTCTCGTCCAAAGCATGTTTCTCGTCCAAAGCATGTTTCTCGTCCAATGCATGTTTCTCGTCCAAAGCATGTTTCTCGTCCAAAGCATGTTTCTCGTCCAATGCATGTTTCTCGTCCAAAGCATGTTTCTCGTCCAATGCATGTTTCTCGTCCAAAGCATGTTTCTCGTCCAAAGCATGTTTCTCGTCCAATGCATGTTTCTCGTCCAAAGCATGTTTCTCGTCCAAAGCATGTTTCTCGTCCAAAGCATGTTTCTCGTCCAATGCATGTTTCTCGTCCAATGCATGTTTCTCGTCCAAAGCATGTTTCTCGTCCAAAGCATGTTTCTCGTCCAATGCATGTTTCTCGTCCAAAGCATGTTTCTCGTCCAAAGCATGTTTCTCGTCCAATGCATGTTTCTCGTCCAAAGCATGTTTCTCGTCCAATGCATGTTTCTCGTCCAAAGCATGTTTCTCGTCCAAAGCATGTTTCTCGTCCAATGCATGTTTCTCGTCCAATGCATGTTTCTCGTCCAAAGCATGTTTCTCGTCCAAAGCATGTTTCTCGTCCAAAGCATGTTTCTCGTCCAAAGCATGTTTCTCGTCCAATGCATGTTTCTCGTCCAATGCATGTTTCTCGTCCAAAGCATGTTTCTCGTCCAATGCATGTTTCTCGTCCAATGCATGTTTCTCGTCCAAAGCATGTTTCTCGTCCAAAGCATGTTTCTCGTCCAAAGCATGTTTCTCGTCCAATGCATGTTTCTCGTCCAATGCATGTTTCTCGTCCAAAGCATGTTTCTCGTCCAAAGCATGTTTCTCGTCCAATGCATGTTTCTCGTCCAAAGCATGTTTCTCGTCCAAAGCATGTTTCTCGTCCAAAGCATGTTTCTCGTCCAAAGCATGTTTCTCGTCCAATGCATGTTTCTCGTCCAAAGCATGTTTCTCGTCCAAAGCATGTTTCTCGTCCAATGCATGTTTCTCGTCCAAAGCATGTTTCTCGTCCAATGCATGTTTCTCGTCCAAAGCATGTTTCTCGTCCAAAGCATGTTTCTCGTCCAAAGCATGTTTCTCGTCCAATGCATGTTTCTCGTCCAATGCATGTTTCTCGTCCAAAGCATGTTTCTCGTCCAAAGCATGTTTCTCGTCCAAAGCATGTTTCTCGTCCAATGCATGTTTCTCGTCCAATGCATGTTTCTCGTCCAAAGCATGTTTCTCGTCCAAAGCATGTTTCTCGTCCAATGCATGTTTCTCGTCCAAAGCATGTTTCTCGTCCAAAGCATGTTTCTCGTCCAAAGCATGTTTCTCGTCCAAAGCATGTTTCTCGTCCAATGCATGTTTCTCGTCCAAAGCATGTTTCTCGTCCAAAGCATGTTTCTCGTCCAATGCATGTTTCTCGTCCAAAGCATGTTTCTCGTCCAATGCATGTTTCTCGTCCAAAGCATGTTTCTCGTCCAAAGCATGTTTCTCGTCCAAAGCATGTTTCTCGTCCAATGCATGTTTCTCGTCCAATGCATGTTTCTCGTCCAAAGCATGTTTCTCGTCCAAAGCATGTTTCTCGTCCAATGCATGTTTCTCGTCCAAAGCATGTTTCTCGTCCAAAGCATGTTTCTCGTCCAATGCATGTTTCTCGTCCAAAGCATGTTTCTCGTCCAATGCATGTTTCTCGTCCAAAGCATGTTTCTCGTCCAAAGCATGTTTCTCGTCCAATGCATGTTTCTCGTCCAATGCATGTTTCTCGTCCAAAGCATGTTTCTCGTCCAAAGCATGTTTCTCGTCCAAAGCATGTTTCTCGTCCAAAGCATGTTTCTCGTCCAATGCATGTTTCTCGTCCAATGCATGTTTCTCGTCCAAAGCATGTTTCTCGTCCAATGCATGTTTCTCGTCCAATGCATGTTTCTCGTCCAAAGCATGTTTCTCGTCCAAAGCATGTTTCTCGTCCAAAGCATGTTTCTCGTCCAATGCATGTTTCTCGTCCAATGCATGTTTCTCGTCCAAAGCATGTTTCTCGTCCAAAGCATGTTTCTCGTCCAATGCATGTTTCTCGTCCAAAGCATGTTTCTCGTCCAAAGCATGTTTCTCGTCCAATGCATGTTTCTCGTCCAAAGCATGTTTCTCGTCCAATAGCATGTTTCTCGTCCAAATGCATGTTTCTCGTCCAAAGCATGTTTCTCGTCCAAAGCATGTTTCTCGTCCAATGCATGTTTCTCGTCCAAAGCATGTTTCTCGTCCAATGCATGTTTCTCGTCCAAAGCATGTTTCTCGTCCAAAGCATGTTTCTCGTCCAAAGCATGTTTCTCGTCCAAAGCATGTTTCTCGTCCAATGCATGTTTCTCGTCCAATGCATGTTTCTCGTCCAAAGCATGTTTCTCGTCCAAAGCATGTTTCTCGTCCAATGCATGTTTCTCGTCCAAAGCATGTTTCTCGTCCAAAGCATGTTTCTCGTCCAAAGCATGTTTCTCGTCCAAAGCATGTTTCTCGTCCAAAGCATGTTTCTCGTCCAAAGCATGTTTCTCGTCCAAAGCATGTTTCTCGTCCAATGCATGTTTCTCGTCCAATGCATGTTTCTCGTCCAAAGCATGTTTCTCGTCCAAAGCATGTTTCTCGTCCAATGCATGTTTCTCGTCCAAAGCATGTTTCTCGTCCAAAGCATGTTTCTCGTCCAAAGCATGTTTCTCGTCCAAAGCATGTTTCTCGTCCAAAGCATGTTTCTCGTCCAAAGCATGTTTCTCGTCCAATGCATGTTTCTCGTCCAATGCATGTTTCTCGTCCAATGCATGTTTCTCGTCCAAAGCATGTTTCTCGTCCAAAGCATGTTTCTCGTCCAAAGCATGTTTCTCGTCCAATGCATGTTTCTCGTCCAATGCATGTTTCTCGTCCAAAGCATGTTTCTCGTCCAAAGCATGTTTCTCGTCCAATGCATGTTTCTCGTCCAAAGCATGTTTCTCGTCCAAAGCATGTTTCTCGTCCAAAGCATGTTTCTCGTCCAAAGCATGTTTCTCGTCCAATGCATGTTTCTCGTCCAAAGCATGTTTCTCGTCCAAAGCATGTTTCTCGTCCAATGCATGTTTCTCGTCCAAAGCATGTTTCTCGTCCAATGCATGTTTCTCGTCCAAAGCATGTTTCTCGTCCAAAGCATGTTTCTCGTCCAAAGCATGTTTCTCGTCCAATGCATGTTTCTCGTCCAATGCATGTTTCTCGTCCAAAGCATGTTTCTCGTCCAAAGCATGTTTCTCGTCCAATGCATGTTTCTCGTCCAAAGCATGTTTCTCGTCCAAAGCATGTTTCTCGTCCAAAGCATGTTTCTCGTCCAAAGCATGTTTCTCGTCCAAAGCATGTTTCTCGTCCAAAGCATGTTTCTCGTCCAAAGCATGTTTCTCGTCCAATGCATGTTTCTCGTCCAATGCATGTTTCTCGTCCAAAGCATGTTTCTCGTCCAATGCATGTTTCTCGTCCAAAGCATGTTTCTCGTCCAATGCATGTTTCTCGTCCAAAGCATGTTTCTCGTCCAAAGCATGTTTCTCGTCCAAAGCATGTTTCTCGTCCAATGCATGTTTCTCGTCCAAAGCATGTTTCTCGTCCAAAGCATGTTTCTCGTCCAATGCATGTTTCTCGTCCAAAGCATGTTTCTCGTCCAATGCATGTTTCTCGTCCAAAGCATGTTTCTCGTCCAAAGCATGTTTCTCGTCCAAAGCATGTTTCTCGTCCAATGCATGTCCAAAGCATGTTTCTCGTCCAAAGCATGTTTCTCGTCCAAAGCATGTTTCTCGTCCAAAGCATGTTTCTCGTCCAATGCATGTTTCTCGTCCAATGCATGTTTCTCGTCCAAAGCATGTTTCTCGTCCAATGCATGTTTCTCGTCCAAAGCATGTTTCTCGTCCAATGCATGTTTCTCGTCCAATGCATGTTTCTCGTCCAAAGCATGTTTCTCGTCCAAAGCATGTTTCTCGTCCAAAGCATGTTTCTCGTCCAATGCATGTTTCTCGTCCAAAGCATGTTTCTCGTCCAATGCATGTTTCTCGTCCAAAGCATGTTTCTCGTCCAATGCATGTTTCTCGTCCAAAGCATGTTTCTCGTCCAAAGCATGTTTCTCGTCCAAAGCATGTTTCTCGTCCAATGCATGTTTCTCGTCCAATGCATGTTTCTCGTCCAATGCATGTTTCTCGTCCAAAGCATGTTTCTCGTCCAAAGCATGTTTCTCGTCCAATGCATGTTTCTCGTCCAATGCATGTTTCTCGTCCAAAGCATGTTTCTCGTCCAAAGCATGTTTCTCGTCCAAAGCATGTTTCTCGTCCAAAGCATGTTTCTCGTCCAAAGCATGTTTCTCGTCCAATGCATGTTTCTCGTCCAATGCATGTTTCTCGTCCAAAGCATGTTTCTCGTCCAAAGCATGTTTCTCGTCCAAAGCATGTTTCTCGTCCAAAGCATGTTTCTCGTCCAAAGCATGTTTCTCGTCCAAAGCATGTTTCTCGTCCAATGCATGTTTCTCGTCCAAAGCATGTTTCTCGTCCAATGCATGTTTCTCGTCCAATGCATGTTTCTCGTCCAATGCATGTTTCTCGTCCAATACATCTCCACTCCATGGTGTCTACTCGCATCACATCACCCAAAAAAGTGTCGACTCACCTCACATCTCCACTCCATGGTGTCTAGTCGCATCACATCACCCAAAAAAGTGTCGACTCACCTCACATCTCCACTCCATGGTGTCTAGTCGCATCACATCACCCAAAAAAGTGTCGACTCACCTCACATCTCCACTCCATGGTGTCTACCCGCATCAAATCACCCAAAAAAGTGTCGACTCACCTCACATCTCCACTCCATGGTGTCTACTCGCATCAAATCACCCAAAAAAGTGTCGACTCACCTCACATCTCCACTCCATGGTGTCTAGTCGCATCACATCACCCAAAAAAGTGTCGACTCACCTCACATCTCCACTCCATGGTGTCTACTCGCATCAAATCACCCAAAAAAGTGTCGACTCACCTCACATCTCCACTCCATGGTGTCTATTCGCATCAAATCACCTAAAAACGTGGCGACTCACCTCACATCTCCACTCCATGGTGTCTAGTCGCATCACATCACCCAAAAAAGTGTCGACTCACCTCACATCTCCACTCCATGGTGTCTACTCGCATCAAATCACCCAAAAAAGTGTCGACTCACCTCACATCTCCACTCCATGGTGTCTAGTCGCATCACATCACCCAAAAAAGTGTCGACTCACCTCACATCTCCACTCCATGGTGTCTACTCGCATCAAATCACCCAAAAAAGTGTCGACTCACCTCACATCTCCACTCCATGGTGTCTAGTCGCATCACATCACCCAAAAAAGTGTCGACTCACCTCACATCTCCACTCCATGGTGTCTACTCGCATCAAATCACCCAAAAAAGTGTCGACTCACCTCACATCTCCACTCCATGGTGTCTAGTCGCATCAAATCACCCAAAAAAGTGTCTACTCACCTCACATCTCCACTTCATGGTGTCTACTCGCATCAAATCACCCAAAAAAGTGTCGACTCACCTCACATCTCCACGCCATGGTGTCTAGTCGCATTACATCACCCAAAAAAGTGTCGACTCACCTCACATCTCCACTCCATGGTGTCTACTCGCATCAAATCACCCAAAAAAGTGTCGACTCACCTCACATCTCCACTCCATGGTGTCTAGTCACATCACATCACCCAAAAAAGTGTCGACTCACCTCACATCTCCACTCCATGGTGTCTACTCGCATCACATCACCCAAAAAAGTGTCGACTCACCTCACATCTCCACTCCATGGTGTCTACTCGCATCAAATCACCCAAAAAAGTGTCGACTCACCTCACATCTCCACTCCATGGTGTCTAGTCACATCACATCACCCAAAAAAGTGTCGACTCACCTCACATCTCCACTCCATGGTGTCTACTCGCATCACATCACCCAAAAACGTGTCGACTCACCTCACATCTCCACTCCATGGTGTCTAGTCGCATCAAATCACCCAAAAAAGTGTCGACTCACCTCACATCTCCACTCCATGGTGTCTAGTCGCATCACATCACCCAAAAAAGTGTCGACTCACCTCACATCTCCACTCCATGGTGTCTACTCGCATCAAATCACCCAAAAAAGTGTCGACTCACCTCACATCTCCACTCCATGGTGTCTAGTCACATCACATCACCCAAAAAAGTGTCGACTCACCTCACATCTCCACTCCATGGTGTCTATTCGCATCAAATCACCCAAAAACGTGTCGACTCACCTCACATCTCCACTCCATGGTGTCTAGTCGCATCACATCACCCAAAAAAGTGTCGACTCACCTCACATCTCCACTCCATGGTGTCTACTCGCATCAAATCACCCAAAAAAGTGTGGACTCACCTCACATCTCCACTCCATGGTGTCTACTCGCATCACATCACCCAAAAAAGTGTCGACTCACCTCACATCTCCACTCCATGGTGTCTATTCGCATCAAATCACCCAAAAACGGGTCGACTCACCTCACATCTCCACTCCATGGTGTCTAGTCACATCACATCACCCAAAAAAGTGTCGACTCACCTCACATCTCCACTCCATGGTGTCTACTCGCATCACATCACCCAAAAACGTGTCGACTCACCTCACATCTCCACTCCATGGTGTCTAGTCGCATCAAATCACCCAAAAAAGTGTCGACTCACCTCACATCTCCACTCCATGGTGTCTAGTCGCATCACATCACCCAAAAAAGTGTCGACTCACCTCACATCTCCACTCCACGGTGTCTACTCGCATCAAATCACCCAAAAAAGTGTCGACTCACCTCACATCTCCACTCCATGGTGTCTAGTCACATCACATCACCCAAAAAAGTGTCGACTCACCTCACATCTCCACTCCATGGTGTCTATTCGCATCAAATCACCCAAAAACGTGTCGACTCACCTCACATCTCCACTCCATGGTGTCTAGTCGCATCACATCACCCAAAAAAGTGTCGACTCACCTCACATCTCCACTCCATGGTGTCTACTCGCATCAAATCACCCAAAAAAGTGTGGACTCACCTCACATCTCCACTCCATGGTGTCTACTCGCATCACATCACCCAAAAAAGTGTCGACTCACCTCACATCTCCACTCCATGGTGTCTATTCGCATCAAATCACCCAAAAACGGGTCGACTCACCTCACATCTCCACTCCATGGTGTCTAGTCGCATCATATCACCCAAAAAAGTGTCCACTCACCTCACATCTCCACTCCATGGTGTCTACTCGCATCAAATCACCCAAACAAGTGTCGATTCACCTCACATCTCCACTCCATGTGTTAGAGATTAAGGACGGAGTCTATGAAGATTAGGGGCTGAAATATCTCAAAATCGTCAACTACAATTCTGGACAGAAAAGTCGTCGTCACAAGAAACGTCGTCGACGAAAGGTCCACTGTTAGAATTCTTTCAAACTCGAGTATGTTGTAGCCCTTGACCGTGGCTATCTTTCCCAATTTGAATAGTATCAGAATATGGAGTATAACTCGAGTTATGAACTTCGGCGCACTAGGGGGTATGCTGCCATAGAAAACGTAACTCAATCACAATGATCTCACAAGTTCACACAAGAAAGTTAGAGTAGCAATAGAACCAGGTAGGAGGGGATGAGGAGGACGAGAGGGAAGGTCCCAAGAGAGTCCCCAACCAAGGAAACCCCATGCCATACAATTCCCTTCCCCATAGGCAACCCAACTTTGACCTTTGTCACTATCCCAACCTCCACAATCCACCTCAACCCAACTTGGCCACACTTGCCAACCTGGTTTGGTTTCTCCCAACCATTTGGCAGCAACTACAGTAGAAAAGACGAATTTCCCAACCCCCAAAAGTCTGTACCCCATATTGAGTCAACCCCACAACTTCCCATAGTCACCACAACCAAATATCAAAAGCATACGAACTCCAACGTTCGTAACTTTCTAGTTCGTGCTCCGATTGAAGCGATACTTGGTTCCTCGGAAAGCTCTTGAGCAGAGGAGTCACTTCAGATATCTGCTCAAGCCAAATAACATTCACACACACACTCAGAAAAACCAAACCGCACAAAACACAAATTCTTGCACACACTCACAACACGCATGCAACGCACGAACATATGATGGGAGGCAGACAGACGTGAATGCGAATGGTAGCATCACTCAACAAACTCCCCCTCTGGCTGCCAACCATCATCCCACATGCCATAGCTCAAGCATGCATCCTCAATGCACACTCATCCCAGCAAGCTTCATGCCCTTCCAATGCTCAGATTCAGCCAGGCGCTTGGTGAGAATGTCAGCCGCCTGCTGATGGGTCTTCACAATCTCCAGCCGCACCTCCTTGTCCAGGAGCCTCCTCACCCAATGCCACTTAGGCCTGATGTGCTTCGTCAGCCCATGAAGGCAAGCATTCTTAGCAAGCTTCACAGCCGACTCGTTGTCACAGAAAATCACAGTTGGATCCTTTTGGCACACTCCGATCTCCTCCAACAAACGCCTCAGCCACACCACCTCCTTTGCCCCATGATGCAGAGCCATGTACTCTGTCTCACACGAGGACTGCCCCACCTCGTTCTGCTTCTTGCTGCGCCAGCTCACTGCACCACCTCCAAACAGGCACACATAGCCTCCAATGCTGGTGCCATCCGCCTTCACAGAGTTGAAGCTAGCGTCGGTGTAGCAGGTCAGGAGCATCTCCCCCTTGCCCAAATCAGCTGCACCCCTCTGCAGCCTCTGTCGCACAGCACTGTACTCCAAGCCCACTAATGCCGTAGCGCTCACATAGCGGACCAACCTCTTGGCCGCTTCCAGCTGCTCATGACTGGGGCGTGAAACCACACTTGCAAGCCTGGATGTAGCAAAGGCAATGTCAGGCCGCGTGTGGTTAGCCGCATAATTGAGTGCCCCCACCATGGAATGAAACAGCTTCCTGTCACTCTCACCCACCACCTCCTCTTCAGCACAGGGCTCCACAGTGAACCCCGAAGGCAGTGGGGTGGCTGGCTTTCCTCCATCTTGCAGCCCATACTTCTCAGCCAGCCCCTCACAATACTTTCTCTGGTGCAACCTCAACACTCCCTTGTCAAGGTCCCTCTCCACATGCATGCCCAAATAGTACTTCACATCTCCCATCTTGGAGCACTTAAACTGCATCTCCAGCATCTCCTCCACATGCTCAATCATTGCAGACGACTCAGAGAAGAGCAGGATGTCATCCACATACACCAGGAGCATGAGAAACTGCTCCTTCTCCTGCAGCAGGAACAAGCTGTGATCACACTCACTCTTCTTGAAACCCCCAGCCAGCAGAGTCTCCTCTAACTTGTGGTACCATGCACGAGGAGCCTGCTTCAGGCCATAGATGGCCTTCTTCAGCCTGCACACCCTGCCGCTCCCATCATCCAAACCCTCAGGCTGTAACATGTACAGCTCCTCCAGAATGATCCCATTGAGGAAGGCGGTGGTGATGTCCATCTGCTTCACCCGCCATCCACGGTATGCTGCCATTGCCAATGACACCCGAAGTGTTGTGCCTTTCCCCACAGGAGCATAGAGCTCGTTGAAGTCCTTTCCCTTTGTCTGCTGAAACCCCTTAGCCACAAGCCTTGACTT